GCGTAAATCCTGCGTTTCCCCGCCGTGGGGGGACGGGGCCGCTGGTGCCCCGCTCGCGAAGGGGCGCAGGGCCAGCCCTGCTCTTACCCGCCGCGACTCCTGGCCTGACCTGACCCGACCGGGGCAAAACGAAGGCTGAAGGCCAAACACGGTGAGCTGCCTGCAATGTCTTTGCTGAAACCCCGCCTTACATCTTCTATCAACAAAAAATACAAAAACGTGGGAACGAGTTTCTTAGGGTTTCTAACTGGAGCTTATGGCTTCGTCCTGCCTTGCGCTCCGTGGCCTCCCCTTCTTTCCTGCCTCCCATCCCGCTCCGCACTTGCGAGGATTTTGCGTAACAAGGAACCCCTCTTCTCAGCGCCCGCGGTTCTGATGCAACCACCTCTCAGCGACCTCACCGGGGCGAAGTTTGCAGGCGTGCCATTTGCGTACAGCTCCCACGGCCTCCATATAAAAAGCAGCTAGGTGAACAATACACTGAAAATGTGTTCCCTCATCTACAGGACGACGAGTGGTAAAAGCAATCCAAACTCAAATTCTAACGAAGAAAATTCTCATAACGTTAATTAAAAGACACAGTAAAACATGAATATGGTGACAAATATAAAGCGTAGCAAATTCAAAAAACATACTGAATATGAGGGTCAGCGCTTAAAACCTTTAACAAGGCTGTACATAATTTATGAAAATCAAGGTTTAAACATCAGAATCGTTCCACTGAAGAAAAGGGAAATTACGTTTCCCTTGCCCTTCTTTGTTAATCAAAATAGAATATACTTTGGTTGGTCCCTGCGGTATGGATGCACAGTGCAAAAAGAACCCAGCGTTCAGCAGTTCACGTCCAACTACCTCAAATGAAAAGGGAATTCGGGCCAGAATTTCAGAAGATGTGAAGAACCCCGTAACTCATTATGCCACGCAAACAGTAGTGCAGTTAGGCATCATTTTAAGCACATACGACCAGGTGCTTTGCATTTGTAAAACGTCCTTTATAGAAGAGAAGGCAAAATCAGATTCCCAATATGCTGAAATAAATATGAATATTTATCAATTTAAATAAATCATAATCACTCACATACTTAAATTAACTTCCAAGGTTATTTAACCTTGTAGGAAAAAGAGAACTGCATTGAGAGCAAAGGAAAAAATGGCAGGACGTTGTTTCGTAAATGCTTGGCCGTCTCTTCAGCTCTTGCTAACGCGTTGTTTCTGCGCAGAAACGCTGCTGCGTAAGGCAAAGGCAGCGCGCTGCGATGCCACGTCGTACCTGGCCTTGCTAAGAGAGGAGCTGACCTCACTGGTAAAACCCCTTGTACTGTTTAATAAATTTTCTAGCACTCAGTCTAGGGAAGAGGAAAGGGGAGAGAGGGCAAGGGGAACTGCCAAGCGAACCCCAGTTTGACAAAGAGGCAAGGATATCTAGTTACTAAAAACATGAAGCCTTTAAGCCTGGGAGCCGGGAAGGTTCAAATCAAAGTTGCAGCCTGCTCAGGGGTGGGAAGAGCTGGTCAAGGCGGTCAGAAAAGGGGGGAAACAGCAGCAACAACGGAGCTGGCCCTCAGCCGGCGTTAAATTGTCACAGCATCCCGGACTTAAAATGGAGTCAAAAGAAAGGTAGGCTGGCTGGTGATCCATCTCAAAGTTAGTATCCAGGTGCCTGTAGTGAGGCAACGTTTATGAGAAGAAAAACTATTAGAAAATCTAGACGGGGGATAAAACCTGTAGCTGTGCAGTTCTGACACTGCCCGACTGACCAAGACGGGGAGAAAAAACAAGCTGACAAACTCTCCCGCGTTGTTAACCCCAGCAGCAGATTTGAATTAAACACCTAATAAGCAAAAGTAGTTTCTTGTTTTAATACAAACTAGCGAATGAAAATAAACCTTAAACTAATCCATAATACTTAGCCTGATCTGCTAATACCTGTGTAATACCTGCTACTCTCTTGGCCTCACTTGGATTCTTCCTCATATACATTACACAGAAAGCTCAGAAATCACCTTTTAAATGCTTGTGAAGAGAAGATCAGGTACCCCTCAGCCCTTGACCAGGCAGGTTTCACCGGCCGTGGCAGCACAAGACATGGAATAAAAGGAAATTACAGAAATAGTATCAAAATGCAGTGCTGTATTTGCTGAAATATTAATTCTCTTGCTTCCATAATTGGTGTATCTTAATTCTCTCCCTCCTTCAACCTTTCTAGTCCTTGTTCACTTCCACTCCCTCCCTACATGTCCTTTTTTCTTCATTCCTCCTCACTGCTTTTCTCCTCACCTCCTTCCTTTTATGTCTCTTCCCTCAAATCCTGCTTTCTGCCTCTCAAATCCTACTTTCTGCCTCTCTCCTTCATTGCTACTTGTACGTTTCCTTTCTCTCACAGAAATACTTTCTCTTCAACTGCATTTTTATCTCTGCCCAAGCGAGGATACAAAGCTATAAATAAAACTAACTTATTTTAAATTATTTCTCAGTGAAACTGGAAGCCAGGCAAAATTAACCTGATGTTAATTTTCAGCGCTAGTTCACACCTTCAGCTCTAAAACCGAAACCTTGAAATGACTACTATTGCAGACAAAAATCAGTGTCCTTGTCGATCTATAATTGCTTCTAGTAGGCTTGCTTTGTGATTTGTAATTTCTTAAATGGCAAAATAAATACAAACTTTTAATAAAACTACAGTATTAAATCCCAAAGCAATAGCGCAGCTTGTGCACATTTTTTGTACCAATTGAACAATACTGGTTTAGAAACTAATATAGTTAAAATGATGCAACTTCCTAGCGCAAAGAAGTTTATCAGTATCAAAGTGCTTATATCCTCAATTTTGGTTCCAATCCCCTTGAATAAAACATAGACGTTTGCTGTTTGGATCGTATGTAAACAGCACCTATATGGGTTATGTGTAAACAAGGGTTAGTGAATCTTCAGTTTACTGACAATAAATTAAAACAATAGCAAAGTCTAATAAAGACTGTTTCTTGATGTTTCTTGGTTGTGTGTGTGTGTCCCTCTGTCTGTCCTGTTTTGCTTTGGTGAAGCATCCCACTGTCACTCTGTAACAATGTTGTATTTTGGTGCAGGACAACCTCTGTAAGTCACTACAGAGTTTTTCTCTTTTTTACTAAAAAACAACCCTGTCCCAACCCCATCCTCTCAGTTGCAAGAATCAGTTGTTCTCAAAACGGCAAGGGCAGCTGTGTTAGCTTTCTATCCACTAGCCAGCAATGATGGCCAGAGCAGAAGTCTTACTGCAATAGAGAACGGCATGCTGTTAGGTCCATGAAATCAACGTCATGACAGGTAACAGCACTATGATTTTCTCTCAGATGACAGCAATAACAGAGTAATTACTGCACAGAGGTAACAATACCTGTCAGGTGTCTGCCCCCAAATAGTTATACTATTAACAAAAATAAAAATTGCATACAAAATTTCCATAAGACTCAATAACAATTTCCCTGCCTGCAATAATAATGCACACAGTCTTAATCGTTGTGCAGAATGTGAACCATGCTGCAGGAGAAGAACATCAGTAGAAACCCTACATCCTGAGCGCAGTTGGTATCACAAATTGAAGTATCAGTGAAAAGCTCAACATACAAAAGCACTCCAGTGCTGTCTGTGCTGTAGGATATCCCTGGGAATTCAGATCCCCAATTTTATAAAATATTCGGTAGACATTTAATAACAATATCCCGCTGTTGGCGTGGTTGGAGAAGTGAGAAGCATCATACCAAGGATTCAGACAGTAAGTCAAGGTCTGCTGTCAGGCTGCCTGTTTCAGCAAGGATGAAAGTTTCCTCTGCCTCTCGCCTGTGGAATCCTAATTACGCTACGATATGCTGCTTCTCCTCAGATGAGTGGTGTTTCTTTGTGAGAGATCCTCACTTTCACTTTCACAATTTCTCTGAAATAAAAAGGCCATAATGTTTCAGTCATGTAAATGAGATACCATGCTCCTAAACACGATGTTCTACTATTCTTAGCGTATCATCTTTCAAAAAAAGGAGAACTAACACAAATGTCACGGAGATTTTTTGCAGAATGCCACCTGCACTGCAGGACTCCCCACCCTCCACCCCTCAGTTGGCCACAGGAGCAGTGCAGACACCCTCCAAGACTGCTGATTTCTCAGTCTGACAGCACGGTCACTGCTATGGTACCCAAACACCATCTGCAGCCTCCGTGCTGCTCCTTTATATAATAATTGTGGCTAGCACCTATATGGTTTAGAGAACCACTTGCCTACACTCCTTGCCTAACATTTCTGTCACAATTGCACAACTTGAACGGCAGCATTCACAGCACGTGAGCGATGCCATGGTCTGCTCTGGTTTCCCAGACAGCTGAGCTCTCTGCTGGGTTGGTTTGTGTACCCGTACGTGTAATCTGCAAAATTCACTCCCCAGTAAAACGACTCCTTCCCTTCTCCTCATTTGTGAAATGTACCTACCAAACTGTCATCCTGTATTAGGACCTTTTTCACCAGCGAACGAGATAAGTGGTTGCAAAATGACACAATACTGTAAGAAAGCTATGAAGAGAGGGAAGAATGAGAATCTGACAACACACCTGCAGCGCAGACATACCCAAATACATTTCATTTATCTACTGCAGCTTACAAGTTTACAGCACCATTCAAGCCCTAGCTTGCCCCGATCCCATCTGGGTAAGGAAGCCTAACGTGACTGGGATTAAAGGCCTGCTTTCATACCTTCCATCGCCTTCTGGCATATTGTCTTTTGAAGTTTTCCAAGTTAACAACAGATTCTCGCCGTACCAAAGCTTGTTGCTTGTCCACTGGCTGGAAGATAAGAAACGGCAAGTTTATTGCTTGGCTCCTTTTGACACATAAAATACATTAGGTTCTTTTTTTGTTGTGGAGCTGAGGGAAAACAATGCTGGAGAGGCTGTGGATTCATACAGGTAAAAGCAGAAGAAAAAAAATTTAATCACTGAGTCCAGGACAGGGCCCCTTTTGATTTTAATCAAAATCCCCCAAATTGTCCATGGCAAACGGTCTCCAGTTTGTCCACTCATGACATCTGGCCCTGTGCGCAAAATTGTTCTGAGGGCTCCAATGCTGCCCCTTTCTAGCTGCTTGTTCTGGTGCACAAAACGCATATCATGTGGCATAGACTTGGCTCCAGCCTCCACTTCTGCCTCCCTTTTCCATAATGATCCACACAAAAGCAAAAAAAGGCTTAGGAACAGCTTTTCCAGCCAAAGGACAGCCGAACAAAAGAGGGAGATAATAGGGAGATGCTAGAGGATGCAAAGTGATGCTTCCACTTTGCAAAGTCATCAAAGTGCTTCTCACTGCACACCTGCACCATTTTCTCTGGATTAAGATGTCGTCAGCTGGCATTTACTTATGTCTGTCTTTTTGAAAGTCCCTGGGAGAGCCAGGAAAAGGTTCCCCAGGGGCCTGACAGAAAGGAGAGGGAGCTGTCATCAGTGCATCAACACCTTTGCAGCCCACTGCTTCACAGGAGTTTTGCACATGCTGGCTAGAAATAAAGACAGAACAGAAACCATCCCAGTATCGGTATTGCCACACTGCTCGGGTCCCACACTGCCTTCTAATTGCTCACAGATTTCCACAAATTTTGCCCTTTACAAGACACTTGAGAACCAAGGATACATTAGGGTCCTTTCCTACATTCCAGGCTGAGGCTTTTCATTTTATTCTAACGTGTCTTTTCTGAATTGTGCTTTTACAGCTTTTTCATCAATCTGATTTAATCATCATAGAAGGAAAGAAGAAAGAACTTGTTCTGTGCTACAGAGACTTCAAAGATACATAGATAACACTGAGGCATTCAGTATTTCAGATCTGACATGGAGAGCATGGAACATTCACGTGAACGTGAAATACAGAATAACTTCAGAGAGCCCTAGCAGCACTCTACAACCAAAACATGAAATTGGTATCAAACAGTAGCCCTTTTCCTGTGTCCCACAAAGCGGGCAAGTAAAACCTTGGCCAGTTATGAAACTCAAAGGAAGGCTCATGTAACTTGCGACTGGGAAGAGTCTGCCGCAGTTAGTCTGAGACTGACAGATTGCAAGTAAAATAGAAGGTGGCCTAAGAAAACTAAATCCATGACCAGCTTTGGTCAGCGCTGGATTTGCCAGGAAATTGTTCATTCTGTTATAGGATTACATTTTCATGGAACAGAATCAAGCAGCGACCAAAAGCTTTTCACAGAGTCCCTGAACGGGTGAGGTTGGAAGGGACCTCTGGAGATCGCCTAGTCCAAATGCCCTGCTCAGAGCATCATCAGCTAGAGCAGGTTGCCCAAGACCATGCCCAGTTTGAATATCTCCAGGGATGCAGGCTCCACATCCTCTGCAGGCAACCTGTTCCAGTGTTTGACCATCCTTTCAGTAAAAAAGTTTTTTCTTATGCTTAACCTGCATTATTGTTTTTCAATTTGTGCTCATTGCCTCTTATCATGGGCATGGCTGAGAAGAGTCTCGCTCTGTCTTCTTTCTCCCTCCCATCCGACATTTGCACGCATTGATAAGATCCCCCCTAAGCCTTCTCTTCTCCAGACGGAACAGTCCCAGTGCTCTCAGCCTCTCCTCATATGTCAGATGCTCCAATCCTTAATCATGCTAGTGGTCCTTCACCGGACCCGTCCCATTATGTTTTGGGGAAATCATCATACTAAAACGGGAGAACGTTAGCTGTGATTTAATATCAGTTATCAGGATACATGCCACACAATCCCTGAAAAGACTCACCTAGGCTTTTGTCCTTTAACCACACCCAGGGTACGAGAGCACAAGATACTGACTCCCTGTCAGTAAATGTAAGAGGAAAGAACTGCAATATTTGAGTACTGAGAAATGAAAAGAAAGAAAGAAATATGAGAATTCAGACACATGCCTAACAATTTTGGGTGTCAGCCTGGTGTCAGTCTGTTCTGAAAGCCACGACTCTCAGCCCTTCTGAGAACGAAACATCTTTAAATTCCAAAACCACATCAAAATTTGCATAGACTAGACAACTGTATCTGACCAGTAAGGAGATAAGAAAACAAATGTGCTAATACAGATCTAGTAAAAGTAAGACAAGAAAGGCCAAAAATCAACCTCTCAAAGATTATGGGATCATAATCATCCCAGCAGTTCTGATTTGCTTTGGCAGGTGGTGGATAAGCCAGAAATGTTTACACTGAACTGAACCAGAATGCAACCGAGGCAGGCAGTTACAGAAGCAGGAGTACCAAAGCAGAATGAAAAACCCATCAATGAGGATATATACATTTTCCCAGGAAAATCATTGATAATGTTTTACGAGACAACAAATTCACTCTTCTCCTCAAATGCTGTGCCAGCACCGTTTGTTGGAAACCAGCAGCGTACAAAAAGTGCACAGTTGTGGAACATAACTTGCCAGAGGCCCTATAACATAGGTGTAGCACACTTCTCGATGCACTCTACATATTTTACTTTACGAAAAAGAGGGAGAACACAGCAACGTCGTACCGAGTTTTAAACACCATGCGCAGGTTGAGATTCACCGAAAACCTGACCACTAGTAGCTCAGAGCTCGCACCTTTCCACCATAGATTTTTAGAAAATGTTTTCTTTGCAAGAGGAGACAGCTCCATTTCACATGGAAGTTCTTGGTTTTGAAACCCAGATCATCACTCCGAAGACCCTTGAAATTTGGTGTATTACAAAGGAGGAATATTTCTCTAGCAGCATTTACCACCAAATCTAGCACGTTCAGGCCATCAGAGGGCAGGAAAACAATTTAAAGACGACAGATTGAGGGGGAGTATGATAAATACACCTTAACAGGAGGAAAACTTAGAATTGCCAATTCTAGTAATATTTTTCTTGGGAAATTGAGGACAAGTGTTGACATTGAATAAAGATGCATGCAAGTCCTTACCAGCCAGGTGCCTTTCTCATTTTGATGTATACATCTTTTATGCAAAACAGAACCTGGGCATTTAGGCATTAAATATCTTTTCCTCATACTGCAAACAGCTATCATGGTACAAGAAAAACACTGAGTAGAAATCAATTTGAAGTGGAAAAAAATGTCACTGATTAAATGTCAGCCATACAATCATCACGAAAAATTTCAGAGTGCCCTTTCAGCAGCAGAGCCATCACTGAATCAAAATAGCTTGCTTTACAGCACTCCAGACTGTTAGTAACTGCCTCTCAATTTCGAAGCAGCTTGCAAAGCAGCGACCTTGTGATTTTCTCAATCATCAGAATTTGTTCTCAAAAGCATCGGGTCAGTGACCTCCTTCAGCTCAGAGAGCACTAGCCTCAAGGACCGAGTCACAGCGACATCAACCTCACTCAAGGAACAGTGGCCTCATTTAACGTTCCTTCTCCTTGTGCCAGTACGTTTGTATGCAAAGAAAATCTGCATGAGCAGAGGATGCGGGATCACAGCTGAGGGAAAGCAGAATCTCTTTCCTGAGAGGCTTTTATACAGACATTGATTTACTAGGCTTTAAGTTACTTTTTAAGAATTGAAATTCTCCCTCTCTTAAAAATCCTGTATCCTGATTCCCCCAGACAGGAACCCCCAAGACTTTCAGTTCAAAGAAACCTCCAGAGATGACAACTAAAGCATTTTAGGAGAACACAAGACGGACATGCGTAAAATTTTCAAAAGAGCCCAAGTCACGCTGGAGCCCAATTCTCCCCAAACGTCAACATCAGGTTGCTAGGGACATCTCGTGGCTAAGTTATTCGGGAGCTTTTGAAAATTTTACCGCTTGTGCAAAGTAAGATGCCACAGAGAGCACATCCAGTGCTCTCCACTCCACCATCCAGTGCTTTCCATCCTCCACCAAGCCCAACGACAGGATTAACATCAGCGCTGTTACATAACTGTTTTCAATTATTCTGAATTCTCACGAGCCTCTGCATGTCATTGTGAGGATGCAGCAGTTTTGAATCCACTGTACTCTACAAACTGGATAAGAATGTGCTGCTATCTTTTTATCTCAGAGTGGGAAACATTATTATTATAATGTTATGAACAACACTTCAGTCTAGCTAGCTCATTCATTTTCTGGAAAAGAGTGGGCTTTTTCTGTGGGAGCCTGGGAAGAGAAAGGTTATGCTCTGATGTATATCCGAGCCGCTCTCGATGGCTTTGAGCGCTGATGCAGAGATGTCTGCCTTCTGCCTCATTGATTCTTGTAGCTGGTAACAGTCACCTCGCAGCACATGTACGCACTTAAGCAAAGGGGCTGTAAACCAGCTGCAGAGCCTGGCTCAGCATCTTTCCCGTACACAGAAGCTTAACAACCCTTTTTCACTCACTGTCTAAACCATCAGGGAGCAATTGCATCCTGCATGAAGAACTATTTATTGGGTCCAAAAATGAGACAGGTATGTCTACACATATAAATGCAGCATAATCAAGTGATTCCTTTGAAATAAAAGACAGCAGGGCGTGATTCAATTTTGGGCCAACTTTTCTTTTACTTTCTAACGCTTAAAAAAAAAAAAAGTCTTCACAATGAGAACTGGTCTCAAATCCCACATGGTACATTAAGATAGTTGTTTGCTTTGTCTTCATCATAGAAAGTAAACCGCAGGTCTATGATATTGCTTATCATCACTGATAAATTAATATTTGCATAGTGAAATTACATACACAGTTATTTGATGAGTTCATTACAAATTCACAATTTTGTCTTTTGAATAGAATTTCTTTGGTACAGGATAGGAAACATAACTGAATTTTAGACAAAAGGATTAATCAGTAGCTAACACCTGCAGATGGTAAAAGATTCCACCCTGCATAACTGGACCAAAAAGATCATCTTAACATTTCTTCATCAGCAGTCATTTCATTGAGATTTTCCACAGGACTAAATGTTAAGTTAGTGCATCATTTACTCTGTTTTACAGGATAGATTTAACCTTTCTCTCATCTGCTCCGTACAACTGTCTGCAGCAGGTCTACGAGGCCATTTTCTTCACCCAATCAAAGACGCTACCATGAGATTTTTACAGGTTTCCAGGTATGTGATCTCTGATAAGTATGGACTGGACTACTCTTCAGTTAATTGCCTAGTAATCTTCAGGAGCTATATATACGATGAAGTCAGTGCATTTAGCTGTAGGGTTAGATGTGCTCCATACTACCGTGATAATCTAGATCCCTGTAAGTTCATACACTGAACATGGGAAAACACTCAAGCACTGCAAACCAGTAAGGGCTTACGGTTTGGTCAGTCGTTTGTGCAATATATCGGAATTGCTATTTCAGCAGTAGGTGATGTTTCTATGTAGATTATGCACTGATAATTTAACTGCTGTACAATAAGGCAGACAGCAAAAACATGCAAACTGCACCTAACCTGGTCTACCCACATTACTGATTTGATTCTGCCACATCAAGATTCAATCCTGCAAGGAATTCTTCACAGCAAGATCTATTTAACAGCTCCATTACCGATTCATTAATATCTTTGTTGAAAACAGAGTCAAAGTTTCCATTCACACAGGTCTCATTTCCATTTTCCATTTGGAAACTACTCATTAAATCCTGGATCCACTTGAGTTCCTCAGAAAGTTCTTGACTTAGAGATTCATACTGACACTGCAGATCAGTGTATTTCCCAGTTATGCCTGTAAGACTAGTGCCTACAGTCTTGATATCATCCTGCAGATGTCTTTTCAGGGATTCAATTTTACGGTATTCATACTTCAGCTGAGACAGCTTGTGCCTCACGCTTTCATTCTCCTCTTTATACCAAGCTTCTTTCTCGTTATAAATGGAAACCAGAGCATCGATGTCCTCCTGCAAGGAATCATGGGATACAGCCAAAGTGCTGAAACCCTGTTCCATAAGTGAAATGTCTTCTACTACTCGGGCAAAGCGCTCAAAGTTGATGTAGGTATTATTGGGAGGCATACTTGAATGGCATTTTATGGTGTACTCTCTCAGCCGTTTTGTCTTCAGCTGCGTGTTCTCGACTTTCCTGTTTTCTTGGACTTTTGTGTCTTCTTTCAGCTGGTGAGTCTTCAGACAGAGGAACTAATATTACTGAACATTTACAAGATAGGGCAGTAATTCAAACTCTACACATCAAAGGATGCAGCCTGAATTTCCACAACACTGGGAGATTCTTTGCTCCCAGAGATTTTCCTTCATGCATTTGATTAAAAGAAAATAAAAAATCCTAATGTGGCAAGCAATGTGCATTCATTCCAATGTGATAAGCGTAAATAAAAGGGCCCCAATTTATTTTCATGCTAATTTTTAGCAGTAAAAAGTCTCAAAACTATCAATATTTTTAAGAGGAAAAATAAAAATCTTGAAAACACTCCACCTAATGCTTTCTGCAATGCAGAGCAAAAACTGGATTTCAAACATCCTCATTAGACATGCTGAGATTAGCCAAATCTATTTTCAATAACAGATTTATCGACAAGAGCAGGCAATGTTTAGGATAAAAAACAAACAAAAAAAAACCATACAGTCACACAAATGCAAGCAAATCAACAACTTGGTACAGCAACTGGTATCTTTGACCACATTGGCTGTGGTCAACTCTCAACTCAAGAAAAGCACTACACCCAAGAGGTGGTGTATGTCCATGCAAACAGTGAAGAAGGATGGAAAAACGCAAAGCACAGTCTAATATAGGATCCCGTGTGTGCAACAAATGGCAAAGCTGTTTTCCTCTCTTTTTGAGGGTTATGGTAATGAAAGAAGTCACAATTAAGGTTTGCAGAAATCGAAAGATATAGTCAGACCCGATCAATTTATTTTAAGTGAATCTCTTTGAAACTCCTGGAGTCTCTAGATACCTAGAGATCAGTTTTCCATTTAACACATCAATAAGAATGGGAATATTATCTCTGCTTTGCTCATGGATAAAAGCAAGATCTGTTTCTCTATTTGGTCTTACCGTTATCCATGGATGGGACAGAGCTTCCTGAATTGTAAGCCGTTTCCTACAAGAGAAAAACACAGATTTGAATGAGAAACACCTCGTACATATGTCCATTGACCCACACTTCTCCCAGACTTTGGAGCAGTGAAACCGTAAAACAGTAAAGCATTTGAGAATAAATACTTTCTACGCACCCTTAACCTCACTGTCAATCAAGGTATATGGTATTAATTGTATCAAAATTGTCCTTTAGAGCACGTTATTATATCACACCTGGAGCTACCATATCCTGAAAGCAGTCTTTCCGAGAGCAATACTTCAAAACTAATCAAACCTAATCCTCCTGCACTGTGGCAGTTTGTGAACAGCACTCTCTATTAGCATTGAGGATCAAAGGCAGAAATCCAGAATTGCACAGTGACGCCTCTGAACATGGGACAAATATCAATATCCCTGACTTGCCACTTCTTAAAATGAGACTGCTAGATTGATAGACCTGTGCAAACCTCTCATCAAACCCCCACCTAACTCCAGCCTATTCAAAGGCTTCAGGTTTGCGGGAATCTTGCTAACCGCTTGCCTTTTTCTCCCTCACACTCCTAATATCTATTTTCTCCTCTAACGAAGCCATTAAAAGGAACTACAATGGCCTGACTATCCTTTAGGAACAACAGGGTTAATGGGAAGGAGATGTTATTTCTGTGTGCACGTTACTAAAAGCAAGAAAGAAACTAAACAAGGTCTGTGATTGCCAGGCACTGGCAATAAAGCTCTGCATCTGTCACAGAAGTTCTAGTCTGATCTTAGTCAGGGCATACAGACTTAGGAACAACTCCACTGTGGGGACACATGAAGACTTTTCTGGCCTTGCAGCACTAGGGCCGTGTTTTGTCACCTCCTTGCAAGTAGTCCATAATAGACTGTAAAGTATTGGAGTGGTAGTTAACCAGAACCAGATATTTTGCACACCATTTTGCACACTAGAGATTTTGCACGCCATTTTCAGTCCTCCACCTGCCCACTGTTACACTGGTTTGACTCAGGGGAGAATTAAGTCCTGAAACTGAAATTTAACTGAGGAGATTTTGGTTGCAAGAGCCGGAAGTTAGCTTCTCATTCTCCTATGCATTCTGACTGCAGCTCTGAAAGGGGAAAAAAAATCATTTCTCAGCAGTTCCTCTCTACAGCGAGCTTGGCCTTCAGGGCTCTGTCCTGGGGAGCTCCCCACACGACGACGTGCAGCTTAGCAGTGAGACAGGTGGAGAGAGCGTGCACATGTGTGCATGCATGCATGTGTGCAGAGAGCAAGATCTCAACAAACAGCTAAGGCTAAGGGGGGGGGGGGGGGGGACATACATTTTACACGCATTTTTTTGATACTATCATAGGAGTTGTTAGAGATAAGGAAAACAAGCAAATAAATAAATAAATAAATACAGCTTCTCAGTGTGAAAAACAGATGCAACCAGTTGAAAATACAGGTTATTATATACTTGCCACCATAGGCGGTATTACAGTATATTCAATATAACATACTCTTTCAGGAGTAACATGATCCAGACATGCCCCTCAGTAAGTCATCTGCCTCTTTCAGTGCCTCTCCTGCCCTCCCTTGCTGCCTTGTCTGTTTAGAGCATAAACTTTCTGGAAACGGGGACTGAGTCTTCTTGTAGGAGGAAGCTGAATGGGGTCCCTGTCTTGGTTAGGGTCTGCTCATGTGTCAAAAATTCACTAGAAATCAAATAGAAAAGCAATAAGCCTAGGAATAAAAACACAAATGCATGGCACAAATGGAAAGGAAAATAAAAAAGAGGAAATATCCCGTGCATAGTGGCAGCTTGAGAATCATCAGCTGTAAGATTCTTCTTTGATTGTTATTTTTTAAAGCTATAATATTTCTCTTTCCTCCTACTCCAGATTTCATACTAATGACACATTAACTCTAAGATGGCGGAGTTAATGAAAACAGTTACCACTAGATACAAGCTTGGCTTCTAAGAAAGAGCAAACAGCAACGATTTAAGCTTCAGACAGAAAGTCCAATGCAAAAATGAGTGTCAGGTTTTGGCATACTCGGAGAATGCTGGCACAGAGCTATTTTTAGGGCTTCTGGATGCAGCGATTCCCTAGGGGCGCAGCAACAGAACTTTGTCTCCTGTCTTGCTCTTGAAAGACAATACACACCGCAGTGAAAGCTTTGCACGTTACTCAGCAGGCTCTGTCTCACCAGGGTCATCTAAGGGGCAGAAGGCTCTTTCTGAGTTTTCCCTTACCGTGTATCTTTCACCAGGAGCTTCTGAATAAAATCCTTTGCTAGGTCACTGGTATTGCTGAAAAATTCTTCATCAAATTCATAATTCACAGCTGTGATGTTGGCAAGCGTTTCCTGTTTAGTTTCTCCAAGGAAAGGCGATGCACCGCTAAGCCTGAATAAGCCAGAAAAAAGAATCAATTGGAAAAATAAAGAGCAGAGGTCCTCTAATGCAATTACAGTGGCTGTATAATACACTCTCTGGACGTTTGTGGATCTCTGCGATGGAGCAGGGAAGCCACTTGGGAAAAAACAGGTCCAGCTTTGGCTCACTATATTTGTGTTTATGAGTCAGACTCATCCTGAAAGTCTCCAGTGCAGCACTAATGTGTCCCCACAGACAGAAATGCATGGATTCTCCCATCCTCAGTGCCTCATCGAAGTCACTGCTAATCAAAGTAGGAAAAGCTTCAGCTTCAGGAGAGGTTCTTTCCCTGTGAACCCACAAACACTACTAGGCAAAGGCTTCTACCAAGTCAAGCGGATGAAATGGTATTTTTACAGATTTTCTTTGGGTAGGAAATACCCTGCAAATTTACTGCACAGGGCGTCCAGTCCAAGAGACCTTCTCAGCTGGAACCACAGTGCAACACGTGATGGGAAATCAGATGCGTGGCCTTGCCTTGAACGCTGCGGGAGAGGTAGGGGGACACCGCTGGCTAAAAGGAGCCCACAGACAAAGGAAGGGACTTTGGCTGCAGTAAAATCCAACTGTTCCTGAACACTGCACTCTGCTCCAACTGCAAGGATATAATGCAGACATCATCATACTAAAATGGCATTCAGCAGTCCTTAGGTAGACAGGTAAAGCTTTCATCCTGCTTTGCCCATCTCTGAGCTGCCACTGATGTCCTTCATCTCAGACGGCTATTTACCTCTGTCCCATAAAACCAGCGTCAGAACGGTTTCACCGTTCCTGCCCTGCCGTCCCCTGCCTCCCTCCCCCAACCCACAGGAATGCTGACTTGCGAAAGTCTGCTTTACAGGAAATGTTATTTATACCAAGGAAATTGATCTCATCCCTTTTTGAAACCTTCAGGACTGTCATTATTCTTATCTACCATGTCTAAGCTTTGATAACGTAGCTGCAGGATGCAGCAGGCTCACACTCTTGGGATCTAACCTGAGGGTTCAAATACTAAACTGCTCGCTAACATGATCCTGATCAGAAGACCTTCTACCTTGTCTGTACTACCACTGCCATGCTGGCTGGAAATTTGGGGGTAAGCAGGAAATTAGATGGGACCCGCTTGGCCGTTCAGCCCAGTCCCCAGCTGCCCCAAGCGGGTCTTACCCACAGAATAAACATCCGAGCGCAGAAACCGCTTCCTCTCCCCCACAATCTCACGCTGGCCCGAGCTGCAGACACAGTAAGGCATGGAGCCAGGCGCTTGCAGTTGTCTTCGATGCAGTGAATTCAGCCCGTAAGCCAGTCAGTCTCATTGCTTAACAGGTTTTACTTACTCCCCCTTGAGCTTTTGTTCCCTTTCTGGGAGCCGCAGAGAAAGTTACGAGCAGGCGCTTCTCCGCAGACCATGGGGGTTCCCAAAAGCAGGGCTTGGAAACCTGCCCTCGAGCCTTAGTCTCCATTCCCAAAATTGTGCCATGAAGCAGCTGGAATTCCACCTGCCAGCCTGCCGCTGCCTCCGAGGCGGCTCTGGGCTCCTCTCAAATTTTTTTTCTCGTTTTTGAAACTCAGTTCTGAGGTCTGTCAAAAGGAGCAGTCTCAAATCCTAACATCGGACACAAATGACTTTTGACATACCCTGACTCAGTGCCCGTAAACCTCTCTCCACCTAACAGCAGATCTCAGCGATAAAGGCTTAGCACTCACAATCCAGCCCAGTGAATCACTCTTTCAGCTATTGAATTAAGGACTTGTAAGCACCTTTGATCTCTACACCTGACGATGGCATCCATTTGAATGCTATCATGTTTGCTAAAATACGCAGTATCTTTACACACACCCCAGTTATTCAGAATTCAGGATTCATCAGAACAAAAGGCAATAAAATTAACAGGCAGTACTAGTTAAAGGCGTAAGAATGTCTATTACCTGCCGTACCACCCAAGCAGACCCCTCCTATCACAAAGAGCATGCTCTTTTTTCCTGCTGTTTTCTAGAGAGGAATTATTTTTAAGCTTACTTACCATAGTACTCTTTACTAGCCAACTAGGCCGAACAGATCTGCTGTGCTGGACACAGTACAGAGCCACCCGCTCCACTAGTGGATGAGGCACTTCATCCACTGCGCCTCCAGAACACAACTCTAACACAACAGAAAACCTCCTGGAAGCACCTGGACAGCTCTGCATCACTGTAATCGCAGGGTAAGTACTCCTACCGGCTTCTCTACAACTCCCAAGTGTTTCTCCCGTCATTTATGAACACACATAAAGAGCAATTTACAAAGTTTAATGTTCTGTCGAGCACACGTGTCACTGACGACACAGAGTGCTGATAAAAGAGCAAAAGCCCGGACAATTTTAAACCTCTTTACCTGAGGCTGGGCTCAGCCAGTATCCCCCTCTCGTATTTTTTCCTGCACCACAGGATTGAAGGGATTTTATAGCACTGAGGCCGATTTCTCAGCCCACGGCTCTTCTGCAGCTGTTGGGCTCTAAGCCTTGGGCACTGCCTGAGGGTGGATTTAATTCCACTCTATTTATTTTCCACACTGGGAAAGCAACCCCTCCTCTTTAAGCCTCTATAGTTGTACTGACGCCAGTGCCGTGTAACGCAAATTTCGCTCTAATACTGGCGGGCACCTTCTTCAGGTTGGCAGCAAATTAGCCCTGAGCGGCATGAGGAGCAGCAGCAGAACCTCAGGGCAGGAGCACCAGGGTGAGCCGTTTCCAACCGTGCGCTGCTCAAAGGTCACAGGAGCTCGATTTCAATGGGCGCAGTTCGGCCAACCATCCCTGACCACTTCTGTAATTCTCACATCAAACCAGAGGAAGGAAATCCTGAGGCAGCGAGCGCAGCCCCTCCACTGCATGCATCCAGCGTCCCTCAAGCGGTTTCACAAAGTACCAAGCTCCATCTAATCTGCTTGTCCCCAGGATGCCCATGAAACCTCATTCCTTAGAGAGCGTGAGCTTGTTTTAATTTCCCACTTCTATTTATTCATCACTGGTTTACAAGCCCTTTTTCTAATATTGGGAAAAATCTTTTTTCCTCCCTTCCTCTTGTGCCTACCAACCGCAACTGCAACTCCCAACCAGCCTTTTCTTCACTAGGTTAAACGAGGCCTTTGTTCTCCTGTAAAATGGGTTCCCTACCTCCCGGATCACCCTGGCAGCCCTTCTCTGATCCTATTTCCACTTAAATTCTCCTTTTTGAATATGGGTGACCAGATTTATACATAATAATCTAGACTGTTGCCTTCTACAAGCAAATTGAAACTTCCCTGTTTTCACCAGAAATACCTCACCTAGTAAATGCTAATATTACATTTTCTCTTTCTATTGCCTCCGCACAATAGTAGCTCATAACCATCCTATGACCAACTAATACACTTGGGCTTCCTCTCCTCTGTCACTTCTAGCTGATGAGCTCCCTAAGAAGCAGAAATGCCCAGTGATGCCAGAGATGTTTGCTCTTTGACTGTCCATAATGCCCTCTTAACTTCGTTTACCCCTTTTTATTTTAAAATTGAAAAGGCTGCAGGAATGTCATTTGCCCACTAGACAAACCGTCGCCTACACCTTGCGTGCAGCTCCTTTCTTCCACGACTGGAGGGAACGGATGTGTTTTGTACTAATGCAATAGAGCTTTAGGAGCACTTCTACAGGAATGAGACTGCTGATGTACTTACAGTATGTAGGTGATGACTCCTATACTCCTAAAAAACAAAGGAGGAGACTAATTGCAGATGTTTTATATCACATGTATTCTTTTTAACGCATGCAACACGAAAAGGACAATAGCAGCTGCTAGACAGACAGAAGGGCCATGGTTTTAATGATTGCTAATACCTTTCCTAAAAAAAGAATGATGTTTCCATGGAAAAAATGTGAATTTTACATATAAATTTAAGTATCATGGATATTTGGGGTCTCTCTTTATACACTTTTACTATGGCAGGTAGTTAGCTACAGGACACAACAGAAATACAAAAAAAAACAGAAGCAAGGATGTTTTATTTGGGGTGACCTCCTTCGGCTGCCTTCTCAGCAGATCAGATTAGTACGCAGGTCTGCTCTGCGTGCAGCGCTCTGATACGTAAGGCTGTCACAGGCGCTGCAGGAACGCGCTGTCTTTCAAGAGCGCTCCACTGCGGTGGGCAGTGGCACACTGGTAACTCTCTAACCGCCATCATTAAAGGTTTTCATTGTCATTTGGTGCAAGTTAAATACTTATCTTTTTATCATAAAGAATGCATCAAAACAAAAAGACAGACCTGACAATTATTAACTGCATTTATGGTACTTTTTTCTTAATTTGTTGTGATAGAATGGATTTTATTCAGAGCAAACTGGGAAAAACCTGGAAGGTAGAGCAACCTGGAAAGAAAAGCTAAAAACTTACCACATATCTGCAGCTAATCCAAGCGGTTCATAGTTTACTATTTCCGGAGCTGTAACAGAAATTTAATCAAACATCAGCAAATGAGGGAAAAATTAATTTTAGCAGGCTGAATGAGTGGCAGAGGAAAAAAGAACTCTGTTTTAAAAAAAAAAAAAAAAAAGAGCGAGAAAAGAGCAAGAAAAAAGAGAGAGAGAGAGAGAGACGTAGGCATAGGAGGCACTTTCTGTTTATAGGTTGACAACCCTGACAGGAATTCAAGCTCCCAAGTGTCCACTAGAGATCACGTAGAGTAACATGGAGCATAACATAACTCCAGAATAAGGGTCAGGCAGATATATGCAAACTACCGTGCAAATCATGCCTGCAATAACGAACGCCTTCACCTAACAAGGATACCATTACCCCTAAGAATCTGAGCTTTGTCCTGTTTTTTGTTTTGTTTTCAGAATGACATTTAACTAGTGCCACTAAAGCTAGTTTCTACCGGCCAGTCAGAAACAGCCCTTGGGCAAGAGATTAAAGTTACGTGCTAACCTGCACTGCTACCCACGTCAAACCTTATTATCTTTAGGGAAACACCCTCTGGTTGAACAGCATCCCCACGTAAGGCTGCATGTAGGAGAAAAGCCCAAGGTGAGGTACCGGGACAAGAGAAGGTGTCTGTGGCAGTGCTGAAACGACAGGAGTTCAGGTAACAGTTGTGCCTAACTGGAACATGTTTTACAAAAAACAAAACAAAACAACCAAACCCACAAACCTCTAACTGAAAGGATCGCAAGGAGCAGGATTAACCAAAATCCAAGCCAGACAGATTAGAATTATGATCAGGAAGTAGCAAAGAGACAATCAGGTGGAAAAAGGTGCGGGGAGTTGAGAGTTTTGCACTCAGCAGGTATACGTACACTGGGAGGCAGTGGTATCTAGAGAGCAGTAACAGAGATAGATATCCACGTAACTATGTACCCACGCACTACAACGCAAAGAACTTACTTGCCCCAGGTAACAGGTAGAAAACTGGAATTTATACTGCCGGGTTTCTCAGTCTCAATCCTGAAATTATGTGTCTCAATATTTCTTTGGCAGCAAGCTACTCTCACAAGAGCAACAGGTCTTGTTTATAGAAAGCCCCTTTCTCCTGTTCCAGAAAAAGAACGCAAACCTCTAGATTTAGGTCACGTTGACACGTAGGAGATGGGAACAGCTACCTCAGGAGATGGAAACTACCTCTGTGCCTGGCTTCGTAATTTGGGAAAGGTGTCTCACCTTTCTCGTGGAACTTGCAATACAAACCGAAGGAACTGATCACTCACTCACCTACAAACTCCGGAGTCCCAAAAATGTTTTTAAATTCAACTCCATCTTCTATTTTGTGAGCCAGGCCAAAGTCAATGAGTTTGATGTGCGGAATAGGGATATTCTTGTCTAGAAGCATAATGTTTTCAGGCTGAAAATAATAAAACATAGATATTTGTTCTCAAATCTTTCTTTCCTCACATATACAACGCTGTGGAACAAGAAACATATACCTCTGCCTAACCATATACAGGTCACCGTTTTGATAAAGCGATGACAACTGTGAAATCTGGTGTTATTGAGTGGATCAGAACTTCAGAGCAGCAAAACAAATCTGTAGGCTTCAGGCCTAATAAAAGTAATACCTTCCTCCCATTATTATCACATACAAAATCTCCCTCTCTCTATCTTCCCGTTAGCACTTCTAGGCTTATTTTGTTAATGATAGCTGCTGCCTGTTTTCACAGTGAGACAGAAGTTATTCGCACAACTGTATGTAGTTGCCTGATTTGACAGAATATGTCACTAGATTATCTGCATGGTGATACAACATGAAGTGAAAGCTCGGTATGTCTTGTCCCCTCTTAAAATAAAAAATATATCCCTGGCCTGCAGGGTCTCCTTGGAAGGAGACGCCGCCCCCTGGCCCCTGGATTTGCCCGAGTTAAGGATTTGCACCAGGTAGGGACATACCTAACCACAGCTGGCGGGCAGCTGAAGCAGGGCAAAGACCTGGCGCAGAGACAGAACGCCACTGCTTGATCCCAGCGAGAGCGGCACCACTGAATGTTTTGGCTGACAGCAACATGGAATTTACACTGGGAAACCTCACTATTTCTGCCCAGCTGCTCCTACTGTATTACAAACCTATTGGAAGATGTCTCCGGAAATGGTTCTTGCGGGATTCTAGACACATCTCAGCCTGCTTAGGGCTCAAAATACTCTCCTGCATGAGACTAAATTCACAGTTGCAACAACAAGGGCAGAAAAGATCTGGGATTTGCTAACTGAATAGTCCTGAAATTGGAAGGAGCTGGAATTAGAGATTCCGGCTCATGTATGACAACAAGTTATTAAAACAACAACAAGTAGCATTTCTCATAGCAGTGTAAGGAAAAACACTGAGCAAGCCAGAGGAATTGTGAAATTAAAGCTAGCTTTTTTTCAACCGCAGACTTTGACTCCACATGCTTTACCAGATATAACATCTATTTCATAAACTTGTTTTTTCAACTAAATTTCTTAGACCTAGTTACTGCCTGCTGCTCCCTTTTTTCACACGTTTCAGAGTAACCTGTGGGTTCAATTTATCCCTGATGAAGAGCTTTCAGCGCATCAATTTTTCAAAAGTTAACCCTAAGTCCAAGAACAACAGTGAGACATTTTAACTCCCTGCTGGCAGCTGCCTGGCCTCTTCACAGTGGATCCTAATGTGCAAGCAGCTCCTGCTAACACACACTCTCTTTCAGGGCTACACTGGGAAAGAGGGCACGTGAATAATTTACTGTCATAGCCATCGGACCAAGAATATTTTAGCCCCGCCTGGTGTTCCTTGAGAGACCTAGGGCGTATTGTGTTCACTCCAGATAGATGATGCACGCTTGTTTGGCGCAGACAGAACGGACTGGAATGGCAAATAGCCATAGTCACTACCCCTTGGACTGTTTTATTCCTTAAGTGGTATAGATCAGTATAACCCCTCTGCAACCAGTGGAGGCCTACCAAGTAATGAGGTAATTATAAATCACCTTTCTCATCATCATCTCTCTAATTAGATTATTGCTTAAAAATACATGCCTTGTTTAACACCAGGCTGAACTCCAAAACCAGTCTAACAAAACCCAGGAGAGTTATTTTGTGAGCATGCTTTAGAATATTTGTCTTTCACTATCAATGAAATGACTCTCTACTCAGCCTTTCTCACTTCTGATTTGCATTTTCTGTAACATCTTTATTGGCCACCTGACATTACTGGTATTAAATATCAAAATTAGTAGCTAGAAATCAAGTACAGAAAATTTGCTATCTATATTCTCACAATAATTTTATGCTACTGGATATCAGACTGCTTTTCTAACACACAGTGAATTCCTTTGGTCTTGAACTTCCAGATTCATATGATAATTATAAAATCGAATGTATATACCCTTGTAAACGTTCATACATCTCGCATGCTTTTTCACATACACCCCAAAGTGAAGATCTGAAAGGCAGTTTGCTAGCCAGTTTGTTAGGCTAGATGCATTTTGCAACGTTTTGCAACAACTACATCTATGACATTAAAGCTGATCCAGCACCAAGCACTTTAAGACAGAGACCGCATTAGGCACACCTTTAGCCCAAGAAATTAGCACATATATCATGGGAATCTGGGAAGAGTCTATCCATAGCACATACATCAGTGTAGTAATTAATAATAAACTCTCTTGGATTTAAAGTTAGGACAAGGAACACGTGATCTAGCATTACAGCTTCTTCCGTCTTCCTACAGTTTAAAACATTCTAAATCTCTCTCCTCTGTTTTCACTCTACTTTCTGTCTCCCAGGGAACGAGTGCATGTTAAGCTTATTTCTGAAAGCAGCAATGGTTGAGGCAGCCAGTTCTGTAGCTGTGAGTCTGCTACTGAGAAAGCACTTTCTTCTAGTCTCAAGAGTTTCACCCTCAAGGGTGACAGACTCCTAGCTTCAGGGAAGCATGTTCACCTAGGCAGGCCACAATCAAAAGGAGAGAGACAGTCTCTCCTGTATTATTTAGGCCAGCTCTACCAATGCCAAAGACAAGGACCAAAGCTAGAGACGTCACCTGATGTGGTAGCAAGAGAGCTGTTTCATGTGCTTTCAAGGGCCTAAGCTGCTAGGAAAGCAAGAAGTCTTTCTGCTAACCAAACTGCAGCAGCTGACACGTGCCCCTCATGTAATTCTCAACACTGCGGGGACTGGAAGGAGCGACAGTTGTTTGTAGGCGGCCCTGGCCCTCCCCTCCCTGTCCCAGAAACGCGCTTCTGTACATCACCCCGAAAAAACAGCATGTTTTGGATGATACCACAAATGCAAACAACAAATAAAAGTCTTCCTAGCTGAAGGATGAAGACAAATTTCTTGTTCTTAGTCGGTAAATGTGTGAGCCCACCCTAAAGTTATCACAGGCCTGACGAAGGAAATTGTCCTCCTTGGCTCTCACAGCTGTCAAGTGCATTTAAAATGCTTTTCAACCGCACCTGTTGTTTTGGACAAGTGTTTTAGAACTGTATGTTATCACACACAAGTATTCAACAAATTGTAGAAGGTGTGGTCATTAAACGATGACAAAAGCTCTAAGTCAGCATCTTTACCTTTAAATCAAAGTGCGCAATTTTATTGGAGTGAAGGTAATTCACACCATCCAAAATCTGTTTGATGAATCTGGTTGCTTCCTCTTCACTCAAAGACTCCTTCTGTGCCAGGAAGTCAAAAAGTTCTCCTCCAGACACCCTGCAAAACACACCAGGAAACTTCCTGTTACCTGCTGCACCTGTAACCAAGGATTGTAACAGACCAAAAAGAATTGCATTCTCTGATGAATCTACAGACATACATGTATTTCTATAGGCATACTTTGATATTAACAACAAATTCAGATGCTATTTTTCAACATTTTCATTTCAAATGAGACAGAGGTAGCGGAACAGGTTGTATTAACACACTGCTGTTAAAGAATTACTTCTCTTCTCCGTTGCCACCAGTAACATGAGGCAATGAGATCTGCCAGCAGAATCTGTTTCCCGTCTAGAACAGCCATTACAGTCTTCTATTGCAGATTCTTGTTTGACATATAACTGACAGGAAAGCATTTACTTTGTGCTGAATTTTTAGGAATACAGCAGATTGCAGCACCTCGGAAAGTACCTTACAATTATCTTTCCAAATCAAGGAAGTAGAGGGTTACAGTGTAAGTTACTATGAGTATTCACATCAAAACTGAAATATATTCCATACACATGCAGTGCGTTAGAATTCTGTTGCCATTTTTCTCTCTCTTATGGAGAGCTCCAGTGCTATTTTTCTATCTGTTCTGAAACAGGATGATCCACATGCTAAATTGGCCATCATTTGCAGTTTTGCTATTTATAATAATACTCATTTTTATTGTTACCAGTTCCTCATTCAACTTTACTGTTGGTAGCACCCAGGAGGTGGTTGTGTCAGGAAGGTCTCGGGGCTCGGAGGTACCACCGCCTGAGCTCACCATTCAGAGCGCGAGCAAAAGACTTGTGACATCCAAAGCCATTTTAGAAAACAAATTTTTGGCCCCGTTGTCCAACGATGTACCAGTAAAAGAATTGGCAAGCGCAAATGCTTTAAGTTCACTAAACGCTGTGACTCTGAGACAAGTCAGATCATGCTGTGTGTGCATGACAGAGATCTTGTATGCGATGCTTCCTCTGACCGTGGGCTCCTACACAACGCTGGTGGTGACAAGACAGTGATTCCCTATTCTGCCTCTTTCAGAACAAACTATTGTGAACAGCTACAAAAACTGCAAAGAGGAGTCAATTGCAAACGAGAAGCCAGGGCTAAAAGCCACAGAGACCTTGGACTCAACCCTTGGCTTGTGCTGTTGCTGGGGGTGTCAGCATACCCGGCCGCTCCAAAGGCAGAGATCTGCACAGTGCCTGCTGGCACGGGTGTTGTTTACCGGATGCTTTTCACAGCACCCACACAGACAGAAACCTTCTAGGCAACATGAGGCAGGACACAAAGCATTTTCACCTGGGCAGAAGTCATCTGATACTTTAATTGTTACGACTAAATGGCTGGCAAGCAAAAATAAACTTCAGATGACCCAGGGATATATCACAACTGCTTTGTCTGCCTTTGCTTTTCCTTCCTCCTCGTCTCAGTTACTCAGTCCCAGAGACGCTTATTTGGTCTCCGATTGCCTTTCTAGGTGACACCAAGGGTCTCAGCAATGCCATCACCCTTGCTAGACAGTTTTCCTTTTACTCTGGGCATTTCAGGAGTCAGGGAACACTGTCTCTTCTCCATGTGGTCATAGGTTTATGGGCCTTGGTTGGTTGATTTGAAAACGCCTGCCATTGACTGTGGTGACCAGCGGCTAAAGAAACCCGTGAGGAGAGTCTGGTACTCTCTTGGTACAAAGCGCAGGCAAATCCCATCTCCTTGACGATCTCTAGTCAAACTGCACTTAAGCAGTCACTCCTGGCAGGGATACGGCCCCGTCATCAGGAAGCCAGCTGCACTGGGACACTTTCTTCTGCTCTTCTGGAACTTAACCATGTAGGTGCGCTACTCCTTTGCTCATAGTTACTCACTGCGGACTCTTTGGCCAGGACTAAGAACAAAAAAGTATTCTCCCGGGCCAGATGGATACCTTCCTGCCTGGAAGAGATGGGCAATTTTCTGTTGAGGAATCCACTTTGCTACACAAAGGAATCACAGAAAATTGTCTGGCTGCCCAGGCTGGAGGTGCTTAATCCCCTTTCCTTCTTGCTGCCCCCAACAGCGGCCACCCACACCAGTTGGGCTGGCTGCCCAGAGTACACGGGGGACTGGCCACAACTGCAACATCAGCAACACCCTGGGCAACCAGCTAAGCCTGAGGCATCACTGAAGAAACTGTAGAGCCTGCAAATATGAGGATCACAGGTGCTTTAGTTTCTAGCTCCTTTCTGGATTTTGCCTTTTCACTCTAGCTCACACTAAATTCGAATCAGGCTAGGCAGAGGGGGGCTTCCAAGGTACTGAATGCAACACAAAATTACACAAAGAAAAACCAAAAAAGACTCAAGGAGATTGAAGTCCCTCTGTTACTTCATCTGCAAAGGACTCCCTCTTAGAGCATGAGCACGTCATTCTCGAAGGTCAGAGATCAGCGTACATTACAAACACTACGTTACTCCCAGGTCTCCTGCGGTGGAGCCAAGGCATTAGCCTAAGCTGCAGAGATCCGAAAAGACTAAACTAAAGGAAAATTCAATGGCAGAAATGTGATGAGGTCTCATCAACAGAGACTCAGCTTTTAAAAAAAGGTTTGAATAAACTGTACTAAGAGAGTGCTACGCAGTTTAGTGTGGGATCATCATTATCCACGTTACGTACCTGAACTCAGAGAAACCCTCAGGCAGAAGAGATTTAGCAATCCCAAAAGCCAGCCACTGTGGATCCCCAGAAAAGCACAGATCAGCACTAGCTCCTTTGCAGTAAAACACCCACTATTTCACTACAAGTTACAACATTTAAACATCCAGGCAGGTGTGTTTTTTAAATCAGCACCCCATGCAAAAGTGCATGTGTTTCTTTCTAGAAGGAACCCAGCCTAGGAAA